ATCACTATCTTCGGGATGTGATACGCAAAAGGGGCACCCTCACCAGAGAGTTGATTGATCGACCAGATCATCCAGATACGAGGACGATGCTTAGGGAGGCTCATGCCTGGGACAAACAACATGGTTACTGGGGGGTTTATCTTTTGTAGTTTCTTTGCTTTTTTATCCTGATCATCACCAAGGATGTTGGATGAGATCAATACATCTTTAAATGCGGATATTTCTCATTGGTCATTGTATTATCTCAGCTTTACCTGATATATGAGAAGATTTATTGTGGTGCTCTTATCCATCTCTGTTGTTCTTGTTTATTGAAACTGGAATCAAGGGGGAGATCTCCTTGTACATACATAGACATGTTTGCATTTTTCATCTTGCATTTTCATTTGCATCGCAGGTGTTCTCAGGGGAGATCATGCGACGCACTCGCTCCTATATCATAGACTTTAGTGCAATGTGAATCTTAAATCAATTCAATTCACTTTTCTAAAACTCACAAACAAATTAAATCATTTTCGTTCTTCGAGATCATTTGTTAAATCATTTTCAGAAAGAGTACGTTACTTTTCCGTTCTACCGCAAACAAGCATCGACCCTAACTGCTGGAATGGGAACTTAATATCGCTCATAAAAAAACACTAAGCAGCTTTTGGTGAGCCGAACTATTGCTGCTCTTATTTCTCATACCAGATGAGGATACGTAGGCACAAGACGACAATGTTTTGGCGAGCAATTCCCCCATCCACCCGTAGTCTTCCTAACCACGTTGACTCTGACTTTCCCATTGCTCGAGGGAATACGTAGGCATAGGATGACAAAATCCTATTGAGTCTCATTTTTCTTTTTCCTTTCTCGTTTACATTTAGTAGTAGGCTTTAAATACCACACATTTTGATTAGACAACAAGCGTGGATCTAGTTGAGTACAACAAACGCGAAGGGGTGCTAATACCTTCATCTCGCGTAATCGAATCTCGAACCCAAGATTTGGTTGCGATGACCATGTTTTATCCCTTCTTTGAGGTTTTCTTTGATTGTTTCCTTTTCTCGTTGGGATAAATAACGTTCGGTGGCGACTCTTCTGTTTTTCTGCCAAGTGTTTTTTGTAGTTGTGACATAATGTAGTAACTTGAGCTTCAATGAAGCCAAACCCAAAGAATGGTATAGATAGGCCGACAAGAGTTTCTCCAAATAAACTTGTCGACCTTAATAAATTTGAATTTCCAAGTTAATATAGATCTTGGATATCTTCAGAGACCCAGGACAAAAGACATACTAGGAAAGCTAGAGGGTTAGGAAAGTAATGTGCTTCTTGTCGGAGACTTCCTCCGAATCTTTGATGTGGTAATCCTCAGTATAATTTTTGAAGGAAGGTCGACTAAAATAAAAAGAAGCTTCAGTGGAAAAGGTAGGTTTGAAAGTCTCACCGAGGGGAGATAATCCAATAATAGCCGCCACATCGAAGAGAGTTGGCGTCATCATGCCACATAGAAAATGGAAGGTGTTAGTCGATCCCTCTCAGAAGTAGATCGATGCAATGAGCTGGAAAGGATTCACCTTGTGGGTCTGTCTCGAGATTTGGATGATGTCGAAGATTTCATCCTTCTCCCACTGGGCCTTGCGTTTTTTTTTTAACTCTATCGAGCCAGGCCAAGTATTCCTTGTTACCAGGAGTTGGCATCGACCGGAAAACTCGGGCGTTGGGATCCATGAATTTTAGGTCGATAATGCCATCTTTCTTAAAAGCAGGAGGAATGGCAGGAGTAAAACAAGGGAAAACTCTTGAACATGTTTCAGGTGCATTTTGGTACTGGGATATGGCCCTTGGGAGGTCAGAAGGTTGTCAACCACCACAAATGGTATCATCATTTGATGTTGCTAGTGTTCCATCGTTGCTTTATCAGTAGATGGTGGTTGACGGACGGCTATTAAGCCTTTTTCATTAGTGAGAGTGAAGGAAATAGGGTTATTACCGGTGACTGGAATACTAGAGGCCATGAGCGTGGTAGAAGTTGAGAACTGGGAAAGATGGAGAGTTTAGAGAAACACAGGAAAAAGTAAAAATGGAAAAAAGATAACAAAAATTGTTCAACGAACACGAAGTGAAGAAGAAAGAATGAGTGGTAAAACATGTATTTATACATGCCAAAAAACTAACAGTCGTGGGGACAGGTGGCGATCGACAACGACATTACGACCTATCCACTTCACTGTAGCAGGAAAGTTAGTGGGGGAAGTTGGGAAGCCCATCATTTATAAAATAGCCAAAATCATAGCAATGATGAAAAAGTTTCTAGGAATTTGCAGCGCCGACAAAAGTTGTCATCATGACACGTGATGTCAGTAAACGTGACATAAAGGTGAAATTTGGAGGAATATAAAATGCCAGTTTCTCATTCGAAGAAAAATCTCAGTCGAAGCTGACCTTTTAAAGGGGAAATATGTTGGCTAGCAAATTTCGATCAAGGATACAAGAAGTTTGGTCGACAGAGAGTGGGGCAAAAGGCCATGTCAAAGAAACCTCGACGGAAGGCTCGTCAAAAAAAGAGTTGAAGTGAACTCGACAGACACCTCAGTCAGAGTCGAAGGCATCCTAAGGGCTTCACGCACACAAACAAGCTTGGAGAAAATAAAAGCGTGGGGTTAGAAGGACATGGGGGACACGTGACAACACAGGGATGGTGAAGCAGAAGAATAACTGTCACTTTTTATCTATTTAAAGAAGTGTAATTGCTAGTTGTGGGGGTCGCATTTTGTTGCATTAGAAGAATACACTCAAAGTACCAGTGTAATAGAAACGAATCAAAACTCTGCAGAATGTATACATGCGTCCACCAGTGAGAGAAACGAATCAAAGTACCAGTTTTCTCTTTTCACTTTTTGTTGTTGTTTTTCCTTGTTTGTTATACTTTTCTCGTCATTTCCTTTACCGCGATAATTCATCTACTTTCGCTCCAACCTAAAAAAACGAAAACGTCAACATACATTTAACACATAGTCTAGGATTCTTGTAGCCGATCTTGCATGTAAACTTTAATAAGAGGCTAGCGGTTGTTTGCCGAAAATCCTGTGTGAACAGCATTATGCTTGGGTTTGTGGTTCTTGATATCTATGTTTCTGCTTGTTTCCGATGTGTATGCCTCTGATGTGTGCTAAGGTTGTTTTAGCCAAATTTTGTCAAAGGGGGAGATTGTAAGTTCTGTGATTTATGTATTGGCTACATTTTGGTAAAACAACATGTTGTTAGTAAGATGTTAAACTAGATGTTTTGTCATGACAGTCAGACATCATGTTCAGCATAATGTTATGACATATGTCAAGACATGTTATCTCAGAAAGTTAGGGCATGATTGTTTTGGTATTTTTAGCATGATATTTGAGTGTGTTTTAATTCACACGTTTGTGTTATCCACGGGAGGATATTGTGGGAACTTCTGTTTTTACAGATTCTGTTAGTTTTCATAAAAAGGATCATTGAGCCTTTTTAGGAAACTTTGTATTTTTTTCCTATTCTTGTGCAGGAGTTTATGCTTATGATTTAAAGCTAATTCCTGATAGTTTTGCGCTTCAAGAGCCCAAGCCCAAATGGACAAAAGGATATTTAAAGAGAAGACCTAACCCTATTTAAGAAGGGAATCACGTGGAATTTGGAGCATTAGGATTAGCCGTGTTTTGGTTGGTCTTTAGGGTTTTGTGTGTTTTTATTTGTATGTTACTCATGTATCTTCTGATGCATTGAGGTAGACTGATTGTTAATTGTTAATTATTCGCTCTAAAGCTTTTAACCAAGAGTGTATTGTTCTTGGTTAAAGCTTTTAAGCAAAATCAAGTATTGTCTTGGAAGTGTGCTACTTCTATTGTTGGTTGTTGTTGAATTGTCACTGGGGCTACGACTGATTAGGAAGTGAGAGGGGGATCTCATGTCTAGAAGGTTTCTAGGTAGAAGTTGCATAAGGTAGGGATTAGGCGAGAAGTTGTAAACGGGGGAGTTTAGCTTTGAACTAATACTATCATAGTGAACTTTTTCTTGGCTTGGTAGACCCTCGATATAGGTGAGTTGCACCGAACTGGGTTAACAACTACTGATGTTATTTTTAATTTTCTGTCATTTAAATCTCAACATTATTATTTGTGTGTTCAAACTATTTTGATCCAGGTGTTGTGACATCTATCTCGACATCTGGTATCTGCGCGCCAGAATTTTAATAAAGAATGAGTTAGTCATCCTTAATTGTATATATTTTCCATTCCTAGAATAGTCTAGAAAATCAAGTATAAAATATTTTATAATCACTTATGTAAATGCTCATGTTGTTATAAATAGAATGAATACAATGAGAAAAGGTGTTCATGCTGAAGTGATCTTCATTTCATTAATTAGGAGCTGAATTTGGAATAGAGATGGTTGAGGTGAATTTTCGGGAGCAATTATGTTGCCTTGAGCTAGATTAACACATATAGGCTTACTAATCACAATTTTATTCACTTTTTTAAGTTTGCATTCATGCTAAAGTAACATTGATTCAGCCTCAACCTCTAAGGTTTGGTCTAGTGGTGGAGGCTTGGGTCTTGAGAGTGTGCTCCTTTCAAAGTCTTAATTATGCTATTTTCTTCTAACAAATTTTTCATTTATTCAAAGTTAGTTACAATAAACTTAGTTAAGAGTTTAAGAGTTTATATAGGATAACTAACTTTGCAAAGTTAGTTACCACTAAGGGATTGCTACCTCATTTAGTTACACAAGCTTCAAGTCCTTATTAGGACTCTTACTAAGCCATTATTAAATACGTCTTAGGTACAATTTATATGGTAAAAAAATGCATGAACATTTGGAGTGCAGATTTAAATATCCAATCCTTAGTGCGTGAGTTTCGCTGCTAACTCTAAAAAAAATAGTATGCTTGAAATACCCGTTATGTCCCAAATAAGTTAGATATGTTTATAAAGCAATACATTTTTTAGTAACTATTACAACAACATTAATTAACTTCACCAAGATCTTCAAGTTTGTTCTTCCTTGTTTGCAGTGATCTTTTGACATTGTGACTCAACATCGAAATGTTCCTCCTTCATCAATGAAACATACTCCACTGTTTTTTCACCATAACATAAAGCCATAATCAAGTAGAACGACACTGCAAAAACAGTGACGCCAATCAAAAACCAACTGAAATGAATATTCACCAGCGAAACAGCGCGATGAAGAGCCTCTTTGTCGCTGCACCTAACCACATATTGATCCCCTTCAAGTTTCATGAAACAGCCTTTGGGTTGATAACCAGGTGTAAAAAGCATGAACCCCATGAACATGAGCCACAGACCTTGAAAGATTATACCAACAGAACGCACAAAACACACCAAGAAACTCCTCGAGAATCCAATTCCCATAAGGGTTGTCGAAAAACAAATAAAAATCAAAACTTGCAATAAGTAATGATACTGTCCTTCAACCCCGATATGATCTCTTGAATGAAGATGAATAAGGAGAAACTGTTGAGCAAACGCTATAGCTGCAAGCAAATGAGTGAGATCATTTTGAGTTTTTTTAGGAATGGTTATTTTTCTATCGAGAATTATAGCAAACGTAGCATAGAATAAGAAAGACAAAGCCATGGAAGAGTGTTCGAAGTTGTGAAGATGGTTAGAGGGAATGGTTCCGTCTTTAGGGTCAAAAGGTTGGTGGTGAAGAGGTGAGATGAAAAGTTCCATGGATATGAAGATCATGCAACTTGCCATGATGAAATGAAGCTCTATGTATCTACTTAGTTTGGTTGGAAACCATAGGGTTGATGGGTAGGATTTGAGAGAAGAAGAAGAAAGAAAATGGAGTTTGGTGTGGTTGAAAAAGTGCCATAAACCAATTACAAAGAAACCAAACCCCAAAATTTCATGTCCCTCCATAGTGAAACTCTAAGATGAATTTGGTTGAGACGAGGATATGTATGATATTTATGTATGTGTGATATGATAGAATACAAGTGTTGTTGTTTGAGACACTAGAAGAGACAAGGGGTGAACATTCCTTTCACAAGGGAAAAGGTTGTTACTTGTTGTGGTGGGTGACATACAAAGTACAAGGTTTGAAATTTTACGCTAAGGAACAATAGAACAAAGGTGCTTTATTGTTAAGGAAATTTCAGGCTAATGGATGTATATAGAATAGAATTGTAGGACATATATATTTATTTGGAGATAAATCTAAAGAGCGTGATCTCTAAAAAGTTTGGTAGTGTTTCTCTAACTAATATAATAATGTTATTTAATTATGTTGTATTTAATTATTTATTAAATTGTTTCAATTTGAAAGATTTTCAAGACAATTTATTTTATTGATAATTCTATTCAACTTTTTATGATGCCTACATAAGAATGTTCCCATTAAATATTATGTGTCTCATCTACAATAAAAGTTGTTAAGGGTTTTTGAATAATTGAAGTGTTGAAATCAGTTGACATGGGATGTAATGGGTATTGGTGTTAAAATAACTCAAATAAGCTGGAAAAAACATGTATGGAGTTGGTGTGATCATTTACGCATTCGCAGTAACTAGTTACCCTTGTTTGTTGTTTTCTGTTATTTAGTAGTTGTAATCGGTACATATTTTATGTACCGGTTACAGGTCCGAGAATTTTGTTTTTTCTGTTATTTGACTTATATAACTTGTGTCCCAATCATTTTTGTAACGTTTGTATAAATGCTTTGGAGGCATTCTCGTCAATTATATTGAAAACATTCTCACTCTCAATTATTTCTCTCTCTCAGTTCCTCTCTCCCTCTCCATACTCTAATTTCTCCATTATTCACCAATCTTGTGGTTTCAAGTTCTAATATTTAGCATTAAGAGCCTGATTCTGATTCACAAACATTGAGTGTGCAACATGAATTATGTCTTCGATGTAAGAATCTCTGCAAACCTACTCATCCTTGATGCGAAGAATTACGACAAATTGTGCAAACAAATGAAAATTTTCTTTGACTACCAAGATGTTCTTGAAGTGATCATGAACGGGGTGAATCCCCTTGTCCAAGGTGCAATGGATGCACAATGAGAAACACATAAGGAAGAGAAGAAGAAAGATTTTAAGGCGTTGATTTTTATCCATAAATGTGTGGATGGTGACAACTTTGAGAAAGTTGGTGATTGTGAAACATCAAAGTATGTGGGAAATCTTAGAGAAGACATACAGTGGGGCTGACAAGGCGAAGGTGGTGAGGTTACAAATTCACAAACGTCAACCTAAATTTATTCAAATGGACGAAAATGAGACAGTCAACGATTTCACAACGAGAATCATTCGGTTGATGAATCAAGTGAAGGCATGTGGAGAAACAGTCACGGAGCAATATGTTGTCGCAAAAATCTTGCTTTCTTTAATGTCAATATTTGACAATGTGGTTGTAGCGATTGAAGAATCTAAGGATCTTGCGCCGATGAGCAAAGAGGAGTTACAAAGCTCTCATGAGGCTCATGAGTAAAGGATGGAAAAGAGAAATAATAATAAGAAAAAGACGAATTTCACTTTGCAAGCCCGCTTCAACAAAAAGGACAAGAGATCGAAAGGACAATGGTATGTGAAGAGTAAAGGGCCTTGTTTAGAATTTTGGTGGAAGAGAGTCCCAAAGTTCTAATAATTCGACTTGTCAAAAGGGTGAGAACAATTGCAACAAAAATGGTGGGCGAGGCAACTTTAGAGGTGAAAGGAAGAGGTTTGACAAAAGCAATGAGCAACGTTTTAAGTGTCAAAAGTTCGGTCATTTTGCAAGAGAGTGTAATGCGAAAAAGAAGAAAATTCAAGGAGATGAAGTCAAGGTTGCAAGACAAGAGTTCGATGAGGAGAATACACTCTTGGTCATAATCACAGAAGAGGAATGCACCAGCATCAACAACAGTTTTGAAAATGCTCCTGGAGTATGTTGTAACTGGTTACATAAAAGTTGTAACCAGTTACAACCAGAAGAAATGTCATGATGAGTACGAAAGGTTTAGTTCAAAGAAGCGAGAAATGATATTTGGACTCAGAGTGTTCTATTTATATGACGTGGAGGAAGGATTGATTTTTTAAAATCAATTGTGCCATGAAGAACAAAGTAAAGTTTGTGAATTACACCACTCTAGAAGCCGATGGGATCAGTGATATTTTGATCATGAGAAGTGATGGTGGACATTACTTGATCAAAGATGTATTGTACATTCTAGAAATCAAATGTAACCTTCTAAGTATTGGCCAATTGCTTGAGAAGGATTACAAGATTCAGATGAAAAACAATGGGTTGCGCATTATGGATGCAAACAGAGTTTTTGTTTTTAAAGCTCTTATGACTGCCAATAGAACCTTCAAGGTTGAACTGAAGGTTATGGAGCATAGATTTCTTGTTATAGCAACAAGCCGATATGAACGAATATGGCATTACCGTCTTGAGCATCTCAATTTTCGAGAACTCAAAGACTTGCAAAAGAACATAATGGTAACGGAGTTGCCATTGATCAACATATGGGCTGAAATTTGTGAAGAATGTGTCCAAATGAAGCAACATAAGGGTAAATTTAGCAAGAATGCATATTGTAGAACCAAGAATCACCTTGAGGTGGTGTACTCGGATGTGTGTGGACCGATGCAAGTAGATTCCATTGGTGTCAATAGATATTTTGTCACAGTTATTGATGACCGTGGTAGAAAATTATGGACATACCTAATCAAGAGAAAAGATGAAGTATTTGAAGTGTTTAAGAAGTTCAAGTCCATATTTGAGAGGAAAAGTAATCACAAGCTCAAAGTTTTCAAAATGGATGGTGGGGGTGAATATTTCTCAAAAGACTTTGAGAGATTTTGTGATCAAGAAGGGATTTCACATGAGGTTGTACCACCTTACAAACCACAGTAAAATGGTGTTGCCAAAAGGAAGAATCGATTGATCATGAACAAGGTAAGAAGAATGTTAAAAGGGAAGAACTTAAAGTTAGAGTTATGGGGAGAAGCGTTATCCACGACTGCCTATTTGTTAAATAGATGTCCAACAAAGAAACTTGAGAAGGTAACACCGGAGGAAGCATGGTCGGGATTTAAACAAAATCTATACCATTTGAGAGTTTTGGTTTCGTAGCGTATCGACATGTTCCGGGGCAGCTTAGAAAGAAGCTGGATGATAAGGGATAAATGGTGATACTTATAGGGTATCACTCCACTGGTATTTACAAGTTGTTTGAGGTAGCAAATAGAAGGGTTGTGATCAGTCGAGATGTCGTTTTCGAAGAGATAAAGCAACTGCAGCAGCTTGTAACCAATTACATAAAAGTTGTAACTGGTTACAAGTTTGAAAATTCAGATTCTGCCGAATTGGGAAGTGCAAAAATTCCCCTTTTTGAAGCCTAAATTAAAGAGAATGTGATAAGATCAACATGGCAAAGAAGCTTTTCCTCAAAGACTCCAAGGTTGTGAGCTGTTCAGAGGCAATGAAGTCAATAATTATGTTGATTTCATCCATTTTACACATATGGCCGAATCTGAACCCGTTAAAATGAAAGAGGCTTTAAGTGATCCAAAATAGATTTGTGCTATGAAGAAAGAGCTGAAATCTATTGAGAAGAACAATACTTGGGAGTTTGTTGGCCTACCGGACGGGAAGAATCCAATTGGTATGAGATGAGTGTTCAAAGTGAAGGCAAATCCCAATGGTGAAATATTCAAGCATAAGGCTCGATTAGTTGCAAACGGATTCTTGCAAAGATAAGGCATAAACTTTGAAGAGGTATTTGCATTGGTTACTAGTATTGAAACCATTTGGCTGATTGTTCGTATTCTAAATAATAACAATTGGCTCATTTATCAAATGGATGTAAAATCTACGTTTTTGAACGGGCTTCTTAAAGAAGAGGTGTTGTAGAACAGGCCCCTGGTTTTGTTGTGAGAAACCAAGAGCTAAAGTTCTACAAGTTGAAGAAAGTGTTGTACAATTTGAAGTAATCTCCAAGAGCTTGGGACAAGAGAACATGTGTTTCTTCTTCGAAATTCTCTTCCCCGCAGTGGACATGGGTAAAAAGGAAATTTGCTTGGTTTTACTGATTCAAATTGGTGCAAAGATAAAGATGATTGAAAGTCTACAGCTGGATACATCTTTATGTTTGGTGGAACATTAACCTTATGGTGTTCGAAGAAGAAACCGATAGTTGCACTCTTGTCTTGTGAGGCCGATTACATTGCTGCTTCATTATGTGCATGCCAAGTCGTGTGGCTAATGAATCTATTAAAGGAGTTGGGCAACAATTAAGGTGATGTTATTACACTCCTTGTTGATAACGTTTCCACGATTAATCATGTTATAAACACTTTTCTTCAACTTATTTGACTTATTTTGACACCTGTAATCGGTTACACTGTGTTAACCATTTACAACACTTGAACTACTAAAAAACTTTTAACACACCACTTTAATTCAAATCCTCCAAGTCTTCCATACCCATGTTCATCTTCAACCTTTTGAACACATCATTTTTTACTCCCTTAGTCAACAAATCAACCACTTGGTCTTCACTTCTACAATATCCCAATATTAACTTTCCTTCACTAACAAGCTCTCGCAAGTAGTAAAAACTCATCTCAATGTGCTTGCTCCTCCAATGTACATTGACCCACTTGTTTTTATAAAGGTATATTTTTAACAATATGCACTTTATGGTGCATTTATCCATTTTTTTAGTTAAAGTTTGTTAAAACACACTTTCATAAAAATAAGTGGGTATTATAACAAATCTCTGTAGAGTTTGTTATAATGCACTCACTTGTTTTTATGAAGGTGTGTTTTAATAATATCCACCTAGCCCTAGAAATCATGCAGTATTTGAGGGGGTAAATTCTACACTTCCTTGTTCATTCCAATATTTGGAGTTATGGGGGTAAACAAA